AGGGATGGGTCGTTGTCGTCGTTCATCATCGGAAATTGCAAAGTTCCCGTTGCACCCGATCTGCCCGTCCGAGTGATGGGCTTAATATAGCTGCAGGAGGAGGAACTTATCCGATTGGCGGTCGGATTGTAATACAATTGTTGCTTCGGATTATGCCCCAATTTATTTATTTGCTATTACTTGCAGTTTCGCGGTGGGTTTCTTTGGGGGGGGGGGGGTGTGGGGAGGGGGCAGGAAATCCGTGAGGAGCTTATTAAAAATACGTTCAGTGGCTGTAAACCTTAAGTGAGGTAGTATTGACACAGCTCTTTTTTTTCAGAGGCGACCTGGCCACAAATGATAGCTCAACGAAGTGGCTTATCACGTGGAAATTTATAGCAGTCAAATACTCTAAACGCACTTTTCTAAACGTGGAGGGAAAAACCGGAGGATCCGGAGAAAAATCCATGCGGCCACGGGGAGAGAGACACGCAAACTACAAATATAGAGCAGGCGTCAGGGTCGGAATCGAACCCACGATGATCTCCTGCATACCAGGCGAGGTAGTTCAAATCCCGCAACCGTGGCGCATTGGATTTTTAAATGCTATTTATGCACACATTTTAAATTCGTTGAATAAAACTAAAAATTCAAGTCGGGCAACCCCAGGGGGGACACAGACACCACCCATGAGCGTGTTTCCCGAAAATCCGGCGCTTAATACGACTATTTACTCAACCAACCCCCCTAGATATCAGAATAAATCAATTACTGTTGAACCTCAATGGGCTTCCCACCGGGTTTTAAAAAATATATATATCTCAGGTTTATCGTCATAATCTGTTCCGTTCAAGAGCGCACGGGTGATGATGTGGCCGAACAAATTCCCACCATTTACCGCCTCCGTTCAATCTCTCACCCCCCCTCCCACCACATTTTTCCCTCCCAAAGCATTTCACCGTTGCCTCTGTTACCCACGTGGCTGTTTTTGTCCGTCGTCCCCTCGCTCATTTTCCCCACCGTTGTCGATGCCCACGCAGCCGCCGCTGTGGAGCCGTGCCGCAGAGGAGACGGAGCTCCCCCTCCGTTGACGTTTTGACGTCGCGCACCTGGGGTTGTGGTGCTGTGAGGAAAGGGGGGCGGTGGTGGGGGGGACGGGGACAGGACCCTTAGGGACATATTTACATCTGCATTCGTTTTTTTTTTCTCAATCCACCGCTGGACGCGCGCCTCTCCACACCGCCGTGCGGGCCATAGTCCACTGTGCTTGGTCGGTGCGGTTTGGTGAAGGGGAACGGGAGTCTTCCAGAAACGCCACTGATGTCAGGCATGGCCGGATTTAGAATTCGGGAACACCAGGTACGAAAATTGTGGTTTATATATTGGAAACTCGAGCCTAGATAGACACACCAATCTCAGACCATTGCGAGCGATGTGACAAGGCTGGGATGCGGACTTCCCAGCAAGTACCGGCATCCCTAACGGCAGAAGCATCGTTGCCGCTCTTCGACCTTCCAAGCTAAGCCAGCACGAGGGACATAATGGTTTGGGTGGGGGTTTTTTTTTCCGTTGGCTATTTGTCATGTCGATCCGGAACCAAACCGTTATACGTTGGCCTCGCAAGATGTCTTGAATCTGGCTCGGTGGTGGGGGGCGGGGGCCAAGCAGGGCCCGGGGCGGGGCTAATGATGACGTTCATTGCATGTGACACAACGGCGTCACTGCGCCGTCTGCGCACGCTACGACTCGTTCACCGCGCGCGCGACGCCAGCGGTGGTGGGGGGGGAAACATCCTGTGGATGCCTTCCGAGCCACGCCGGGCTGGCTCGGCACGGCCCCGGTGCGGTTCGGTTGTGCGGTGGAAAAGAGAGACGCTACGGAGCGGAGGCGGAGCTTGCGGTAACCTCCAGGCCATCCGTCCTCCCCGCCCCGCCGCACTGTATGACGATGCATTATTTACTCGTGACGGCAGGGGTGGACGGTCTCAACGCATAAAAGGGACTCACAAAGCACAGGATGGGACGTAAAAATGAGCTTAGCGCAGCTGGGGTGCTCATTCATTATTGATGTTTCCTGTATTGGGAATGACAGCAGGTTGCCATCACACCTGTTTCACAGAGTACCAGTGTTTTGTGTGTTATCTTGCCGTTGTTGTCTATGCTTCTGTGCAAAAAAACTGAAAAAAAATGCACTAGTTATTCATCTCAACAAATTCGGAGTAGTTTTGACGTTGCCGATTTGGACTGAATTTGCTCCTCTAAGAATTACTAAACTACATGCAGTTGTCAAGTTATAAAAGAGAATGGCAAGGTAATTTAATATATTAAATTAATAGTTGTGCAATGGTTCTGCTCCGTAGTCCTGTACTACAAAGGATCCGTGCCGGTCACATGCACCAGCCCACATGCACCAGCCCACATGCACCAACCCACATGCACCAACCCACATGCACCAACCCACATGCACCAACCCAAATGCAGGGCATTGCACAACGAATTCCCAGGGGCATTACAGGCCAGCCCACGTGGGTGTTGGGTTAGCGGGCTATCGCTCCCTATCCCCCCTCCTCCTTGTCAGACTTTGGGGGACAAAGTATCGACTTAAACCAGCCTTCCAACTAAAAATCCCTGTGGACAGAGAAGCAGAGGTCATCAATTTCCTTTATGTCATCAGTTAAACGTGAGTGTCATTAACACAGCGTTGGTTTTTTTTCTCATTGTAACATATTTTTCACATTGTGGACGTGTTGCAGATTGCAGATAAGATTCTGTGGTGGTGGTGGTGGTGTTCATGCTGCATGACTGCACGCAGCGGGTACCTTGTGCCGCTGTGAGCAACGATGGATGGGAAAGGAACCCGCATACTTTGACTCATTAAGTCAATCCGTTGCCCGTGTCTTCTTACCCCGTTTGCCCCAGCGCCACCACAAATTAGACTCTGATTTCTTTTCACCCGCTTAACTTTAGCGTCATGGCCTCATCCCCGCCCCCTAGACTCATCCCCCTCCACACCCCCCACCCCCCCCCCCCCCACTGCTGTGACATCAACTAGATGCTCTATGACAGACGCACCCGTCAGACACGGTGCGAAGGGCACCGTGGGGTGGGTGTCAGGAAGATTCGGCGCCAATGCCAAGAATTACCTTGAAGCGCCCAGTTACTCGAGCAGACCTTGGCAGCACGGTGGCTGCTTGAAGGTTACCAGGTATGTCTCGTGCGGGCGTGCTCTGTGTGTCTCACGTCACCGCTGTGTTGTCGTGTGCCGTCAGAGAGCTGGAATATTAACAAAGAAAAGTGTCCGCGGTACACTTCTGGCCGCAGAGAGCATATAGGTGCGTGCGTGCGTGCGTGGACGAGGCGAGACATTTTTGTTGGTTTGTCGGCGACTTGGAAGCCCGGAGCGGCACACGACGGAGGAGGTTGAACTGGGGTAGTCGCGTGTTGAAGGTTGGAGGGGGGCAGGAAAGAGAGAGAGGGGGGATTTAGAGTGGGAGCCCGGAGGTCGTCGATGGACACGACGAGCCCGCGTCCAGACCGGGAGCGATGGGGGATTGTCAGAGCAGACCTCAAATGTCGGGCGTCTGACTGCGTCACGGCCCGTGGGATCTGGCGGAAGGGAGGAGAGCGATGGTGTGGGTCATTGGGCCATCAACGGTTTCAAGCAGCGACGACCATTTGTTTCTGTTTGTTGAAACGAGGGGCTTTGCAGCAAAGGCGCTGTACTTTTGAATGTTGATATGTCAGGTGTTTTTTTTTATTTTAATAATGTAATTTTGTTTGTTATTTCATTTTGTTGTTATTTTCTAATCTGCACGGGTGTTTATTCGCTGCTATTAAACAACCGGTAATTCGAACAAATAGTTCTTCAAGTAATAAAACGCAGCACTTTGTCAATCCACCCATGAATGAAGGCCTCCCCATACCGTGTCAGATGCGGAGGTTGTTTGACCATACTTCACCATGCTGGTCAGTGTGGGTTTGTGAAAGAGGGCAGGCGGCTCGAGACCATTTCAGAGATCGCTCGCCAATGACACTAACGCTGGCCAGGAATCGAAATCCAAGTCTCCGGGTTCATAGATAGCACATTGCGCTAACCACTGTGCCACCACTCGTACTGTAAAGTAATTAACCAGGAGTTAATTGCCTTCTGGTGGGATTGGTGGCTTAACTGGTTCGTCAAACGAACAGACGGTAAACTGGTTATTATTTTACTGTAAATAGTGTGCAAAACGGCACGTAAACACTTTGTAACTGTGTGTGATGCATTTTGTGGCTGTGTGGGGGTTCATCCACATAACACAGCTGTTATAAACGTTGTGTCCTAGTCTCGAGCACATTCACCATGTGCTTCTAACCGATCAACAAGCCTCTAATTGTGCGCCTGTGCGTTTCCGACCACGCCGTCAATCGAGCCGTGCAAGTGGTTACCGGATCCTTAAGTCGCTCGGTTATCGTATCAATTCAGTTCGGTTGGACGTTAACGTTCAAGTGTTAACTGTGTGACGCCTTTCTTTGTCCGTTAAGTTGAACACTAGCAGGTGCGTTGCGAATAGTCACGTAACGATCTGCTCCCCTACCACGGCAAGTTGGCGTTGTTTTCACAATTACATTTATCGGTTGTTCCCCTTCTCGTTTTTACCATCGCGTTCGTGTTGCTTTTTCTTTTCGTCTCGTTTGTAAAGCCTTTTTGTGCATCCCGTTGGCCTGAATGTAACGGCGTGCCATTTCCATCAGCCGTAAATGTGCAGTTCTCAGCTCGATGCTCGTATCTTGAGCGTTACGTTAAACAAAAAAAATGTTGGGTCTGTCGAATTCGATGCATCACTAACGCACGTAGCGTAGCGTCGTTTACCAAGCGCCCGGCGTGTTGAATGGTGCATTATCTCATATTGACACGAGGTGCCGTTGATGCAACCGGACACGAAGGCCGTCTCACCTTTGTCGACTGACATGTTTGGCGCATTCCTACGCCGGACCTGACGCTTCCCCTACCCTCCACCCCGTCCGTGCGTGCGCGTGCAGGACCATCATGGGACCTCACGGGATCAACCGAGCAGCCCACCGCATCGTCCTGTCCGATTGCGAGAACGGCCTCGGTGAGTGAGCGATGAACCCCGAGGGCTTGCCGGGACACGCGCTCACCATTGTGCGCAGCAGGGGGGGGGGGACTACCCCCCCCCCCCCCACCTTGCTTCTCACTTCTTTTGTTTGAGCCACGCTCGTCACGATTCATTGTGAGCCTCTCTTTGGGAACGCTCGCTGCGCTCTCACCGCGTGTCACGGAATGCGCAGGGTGACGCCCACACTCTCCGCCAGTGTCCCCTTGGCTGACGACGACCACAATCCACTCGATTTCAAGCTTTCGTGACTGCAAGGATTCATCTTCTTTGGTTCTTTCGGTAAAGTCACGTAGAATGAGAATAAAATAATAAATTGATAAAGTAAAATAACACAATAATATTCTCACGACGTTTCGGCCACAACACAAGCGGCCTTCATCAGGTCAAGGGACGAGACTGTCTGGAGGACACTCCAGCGCTGTCCTCCAGACAGTCTCGTCCCTTCACCTGATGAAGGCCGCTTGTGTTGTGGCCGAAACGTCGTGAGAATATGTGAGAATATTATTGTGTTATTTTATTTTATCAATTTATTATTTTATTCTCATTCTACGTGACTTTACCGAAAGAACCAAAGACCACAGTCCACTCCTTCAGGAACTGCTGCGATGGGTTGTTTTTTTTTGTTGCATCGTTACAAAAAAGGCTGGGTGCTTTTTTTCACGTTTCTGCCGTGTAGTTGTTTGATTTGAAGCTTTCGTGACTGCAGGAATTACTCTTTGGTCCTTTCGGTAAAGTCACGTAGAAAATAAATAAAATAAATAATAGAATACGACGTTTCGATTGCAACACAAGCGATCGTCATCAGGTATAAATTAATGAGGAAACAAGTGGAGTGGGAAGCAAGTGGGAAGCGAGTGGGAAGCGAGTGGGAAGCACGTGGGAAGCGAGTGGGAAGCGAGTGGGAAGCACGTGGGAAGCGAGTGGGAAGCGAGGGGTAGACACGCGGGAAGCGAGTGGGAAGCACGTGGGAAGCACGTGGGAAGCAAGTGAGAAGCGAGTGGGAAGCGAGTGGGAAGCACGTGGGAAGTAAAAAAGAAGTGAGTGGGAAGCGAGTGGGAAGCAAAAGGGAAGCGAGTGGTAGACACGCGGGAAGCGAGTGGTAGACATGCGGGAAGCGAGTGAGAAGCACGTGGGAAGCACGTGGGAAGCACGCGTTAAGCAAGTGGGAAGCGAGTGGGAAGCGAGTGGGAAGCACGTGGGAAGTAAAAAAGAAGTGAGTGGGAAGCGAGTGGGAAGCAAAAGGGAAGCGAGTGGTAGACACGCGGGAAGCGAGTGGTAGACATGCGGGAAGCGAGTGAGAAGCACGTGGGAAGCACGTGGGAAGCACGCGTTAAGCGAGTGGGAAGCGAGTGGGAAGCGAGTGGGAAGCACGTGGGAAGCACGCATTAAGCAGAGATGGAGCGATGAAATTGGCGTGTGCAGGAGCTGTACGAATTGTTGTTCGCAAAAACGTGCGACGTGGCGACAGCCTGGGGAGGCCTTCTTCCAGCAGTGGATAGATCATGATGTCAGCCGTGTAGTGTGAACAAATCCTTTGCATTAATAAGGCCAAGTAATCAAATGGGAGAGAGTGGTGGTGCGGTGGTTAACGCGTCGCGTTGTCCACACGGACACCCGCGACTTATTCCCGACCAGCGGTGAGTAATATTTTGGACCTTCATCAGTTCGCACTGGGCAGCGTTATGCAGTATGGTTAACCAACCCTTACACCATGGAGACGCCTACATCCAGCAATGGATTGACAAACCGCTGTACAGAGACAAAACTGAACGACCCGAATGGAAGGTGTGGGAGCGGTCGGTGCAGTGTGTGGTGACATCATCCGAGTGGAGTTAAATCGTGTTTAAAGAGCTTAAGTCCCATTACAACTGGGTTTGGTGCAGTGCTTAAGCAAGAGTTGATATTTCGCCAGGATGTCCATCACTGGCTCCGTGATGTGCTCTGCACGAGGCCATTGTGTTTCCTGCACTGCCTCAGTAGCGTATATTTAAAAAAAAACCTCAAACTTTTTTTTTCCTACCAGAAGCGACCTGGCCACAATTGATATTTGAACGAAGTGGCAAATCACGTGTAAATGTTTCACAGCAAATATTCTCAAACGCACGTTTATGAATGTGGAGGGAAAAACCGGAGGTCTCGAAGAAAAATCCACGCGACCACGGGTAGAACACGCAAACTCCAAATACACAGCAGGCGTCAGAGTTGCGATCGAATCCACGACCTCCTGTATGTCGGGCAAGGTAGTTAACATTTTACCACCGCGTGATAAGTCACCTTGTTGAGATATAATTCGCGGCCGGGTCGCTTCTGAACAAAAGCTCTATAGCTCAGTGGGCCTTACCTGGTAACATAAAAAAAAATAGTTGAGTTTTGTAGTTTAGTTTAGGTGAGACACTCATGAGCACCACACAGCGAGTGGTGTTTCAGGCTAAGCGCGGTTAGCCTTGATTGTGATGGGGGGGAGAGATATTACCCACCAGATGCGCATTCTTGTTAATTACAAAGTCGGCCAATAAATCTGCTTAGGACAATCTCTGTGAGACTGGGGCCTGGCAGGCAAAGTGGTGCAGTGGCAGAGTGAAGTCAGAAGTTCATGGCTTGTTTAAGCTCTGGGAGACCTGAAAGCCATGCTGTGCTTATGAGGAAGTTTGTATTCGTGCGAACAAGGCACCTGTACCCACATTAGCAAATACTCTCCATTGCGGCTCAATAAGGCTTCAGAGATTGTTCTGGGGCGCCGCGGATGCCGAGATTTTAACTCCCTCACCTGGTATGCAGGAGGTCGTGGGTTCTATCCAGACCCTGAAAATGCTTTTACATTTGCATGTTCTCCCCATGGTCACGTGACTTCTTCACTGGGTCCTCCGGTTTTTCCCTCCATATTTATAAACAAGCGTTTAAGAGTATTTGCCTGCTATAACTTTCCACATGGTAAGACACCTCGTTGAGCTATCATTAAAAAAGAGCTACATAGCTCAGTGGGCCATATCTGGTAAATTACAACAACAATAAACTGTTTTTAGTTTATATTGCAGAAAATTCTAAATTTATTGGAAGACAGAGTATAATTTACGTTCTACAAAACTTTTTCTGGTCGTCGAGACTCTTTAACGAAGGAGGCAGCACACCGGAGATGACTACGTCCACCTCGGAGATGGAGCGATGAAATCAGCTGGTGCACAGGCCTCTAGACTGAGCGTCGCATCGGAAGACCTTCAAGAATGGTGATGGCTTGGGGGCGATTTTATCCATCCGTGGATAGATCGACAGCTGGTGATGGTCGCCGTGAAACCGAATTGGATAAAGCCTTCAGAGTGGGAGCTACTTGGTGTTTTTGTTCCGGTCTGCGACTGTACGCCCATTTGAATGTGGAGCGGTCGGCAGGCTGTGGGGGAGGGATGGGGGTTTAACGCCGGCCTGGCTGTCGTGTTGTTCCGCAGGAGTGAAGGTGATCGGTGGAGTGCGCGAATCCGGAGAGGAGTTCGGTGTTTACGTGAAACGCGTGCTGCCCGGAGGGATGGCGGCCCTAGACGGTACCTCCGGTCGCTGGCACTCACTGCGGCGCGTGTTCGTCGGTGACACCTGCGTAGGGCAGCGTTGCGCAAGCGCTTGTGTAGCGAAAGAACTCGAGACATTCGTCAGTGACCAACTAACCCCAAAATAAAAAAAAATAAAGGTGTATCATCGGGGATGTTTCGAGCAATGGCCCAGCTTCTTCATGGCACCTCGAGAGACCAGAGAGGCAGGAGTCCCGACTGCGCTGTGGAATTCTGTGCGTTGATTCGTGCCCCATTTCCACGGCCACTTTGGGACTGGATTTTGCTGGCACAGCACGAAATGTAATTATTCCAACTCGACTCGAGTTGGCTAGTGTTGGCTTTAGTTGACTAGAGATGGCCTGAGTTGACCAGAGTTGGCCTGATTGGTCCCAGAATTTGAGTTGATGGACAACGTGCATTGCTGAAAAGGTGACGCGTCTGTGACTCTCCCGAGTTCCGTGCGCTATCACACGAGTTGCGTAGGTCTTTCACAGAAATATTTCCGTTTAATGGGTGTAGACCACGTTTGCTGATGGAATGAAAATAGTTCATTCAGGTTGAATTAAATGTTGAATGTTCCGACCGCCTGGATCATTGTTGATTTTGACATGGAATTTTCGGCTCGTCCACAAAGCAAAATCAGCCTAAATAAATTCAGGCTGTGGCGTGAATGCAAGCCCAACTGAAGTTGACAAAAAATAAAATGAAAGCACGTTACCTGGATGATAACTCGAGTGCTTCGCCCGCAATGGCCGTGGCAAACGCGGCAACAGAGGTGGAGAATGAGAGCCAGGTCGCCGGCTCGGCAACCGTTCACAATCACACGGTGTACAGTGAATCAAGCAAAGTAACAGAGGGCACCTTCGAGGTCCGGTTTGAGAATGCGTGAATGCTGCGAAACGAACGAATGCTGTCACTGAGCTCCATTACGTGTGGGGCTGTATCTGTGGTTTATTTACGCACATCCGTCACGTGATTTTTGACACTGTTATTGATTTGTTATTGTTGAGATTGTTGTCGTTGTTTTTTTCACCGTTTTTAAGCACTGTTTATCGTTTATCCTGTTTGTAGGAAGTTCTGGAGTGGGTTTCATTGTTGTTGTTGTTGTTTTTGCTCTTGTGAGTTTGCACATTCCCTCCACCCTGCAATGTCCTGTAACTGCTGTCACTGTTGACGGTCCTGGGCTGTGCTCTGAGTTTCTACGTAACTCGATATCACTCAGTGGATCTGTACATAACTCCACGAGTCTCTATGTAACTCTATAAACCTACAGTATCCTGCTCCTGCCGCCACTGCCGACAGACAGTCTTGGGCTGTGGTTGTCCTTGTAGCAGAGCTGCTTAGCTCGTTGGGGCCTTGCTAGCTGAAACAAAGCCTAAACGTGAGTGTGAAGGGAGAACGCTGCGTGTGACCTCTGCGTGGTGGTGGCTCTGCTCCGACACAGGGCGGCTGAGGCCAGGTGACCAGATCTTGGAGGTGAACGGCGAGAGTCTGCTGGGAGTGACTAATGACAGGTAGGGAGACCTCCTCCTGCCGTTAACGACGCAGCGCCGTCCAGCGCCTGTGCCCGCTCGCCGCGCGTGTTTGCATCGCAAAGTAGCCAACTCCGTTTTCCTGCGACCAAATCACATGGAGAGCGCCCTGCCCTCTTCGGATCTCGAAAGCTAAGAAAGGGGTTGACCCGGGAGAGTGTTCTGCGAACTATAAAACTCCAAAAAACAAAAAACTATTTTTGTTATTTTACCAGGTAAGGCCCACTTTAGCTATATAGATCTTTTTCAGAAGTGACCTGGCCACAAATGATAGCCCACAGAAGTGGATTATCACGTGGACATTTATAGCAGCTAAATACTCTTAAACGCGTGATGTTCCTAAATATGGAGGGAAAAACTGGAGGATCCGGAGAAAAATCCACGCGACCACGGGGAGAGAGACACGCAAACTTCAAATATACAGCAGGCGTCAGGGTCGAGATCGAACCCATGACCTCCCGCATACCAGGCGAGGTAGTTATCATCTCACCAAAGTGGCTCCCCAATGGGCTACTGCTGTGTATAACAGGTGTCATATGCTGTGTTGTACAGTACTTCCGAGCGGATATCGAACCTGGGCTGCCGGTTTCGTAGCGCAGTGCGCCAACCACTGCACCGCCGCTCCCAAAACGCGCACACCCATACACAGTACACACCTAGCAAACATAGCGGACACACAAACACTGCACGCTTAGACAAAGATCCCCCATATAGCATTAACAGACTTCGTTTGGGCAAATACTATTAATGAGCACCTTTATTTATAATGTGCGTTGACAATTCTCTTTCGTGAAATATAATCCTAAATGGATTCGCGCAGAGCCTCCGCTTGTCTTTGCTGACATTCTCAGAGAAAGATCTCAATTTACTCGAGGCATAAATGGCTCTGGCGACGCTTATATTTCTGTAATAAAAAATGTGCAACTCTATGGTATATTGATGCAACGCCGCTTAAATTGTTTACAGTGTAAATGACACTTCTGCGATGGTGATGATATCTACTTTTCAAATGTTTTTACTGCGATGATCATATCAGTAATGATGGTGACACCGACGGTGATGATTATATGATGACGATTATCGACGCGATGCGGATAAAATTGGTGATGATGATGATGATCGTATTGATCGTGATGATGATGCCAGTCTACATCATTAGACCTCCTTTGCCAGTACCAAAATATAATATGGTTTTTCCCCTTTTTTTCTGGCAACAAAACTGAAACGTTTTTACTAGGATTCATGTCTGCATTAACCAAAATACCTGCAGTCAAAATGCAAACAAAAAACACTATGATTCATATATGCATTGTCCTTGAAACTGATTGGTCCACACCAAGGGACGGCTTTCTTTTGAGCCTCGACCCAATTGTTGCTCCACCAGATGACGCCAAAAAGGCGTACGCTACTTCCTTGGTGTGGACCAATCAGTTTCAAGGACAATGCATATATTATTGGTTCTTTCGGTAAAGTCACGTAGAAGGGAAACAATAAAATAATAAAAATATAAAACAATAAAATTATCACGACGTGTCGACAGCAACACAAGCAATGATCATCAGGTGTGAACACCACAGCAAGAAAATGTGAAAAAAGTGGCGGGTTTTTTTAACGTTAGCACCACGGAGAGCGATTTGACAGTTCAGATGGACGAGTCCATCTTTGTTCGGAAAAGAGAAGGGGAGAGACGAAAAATAATGGATGTGGTCTGAAAGCCACCTTAAGCGTGAACAATGAATTAAGACCCGAAATGGTTTATCAAATCCTTCCAATGATTGCTAAGCCAGAATCCATCTTCGCGGTTGAAATTGTCTCTGTGTTTGTATATGTGGATAGCCTCATGAACGAATCTCTCATGGTAGCCAGATGGCTTGCAAAGAACCTCTGTCTTGGAGAAGTCAATGTCATGTGAGCCTACTGAATTATAACAGTGATCTGCCATGGCTGAGGTGTTGGTCCTACCGTGTTTTAGGTCTGCTTTGTGTTCACGAATGCAGTCCGAGACATGTCGTTTGGTTTCTCCAATGTAACTACTACCACAGAGGCAACTTAGTTTGTAGACGCCAGGGTACTGTATGTCTGGAATCTTTTACAGACAGAACCAGATCACGGATTTTATGTAATGTGTTGAATCGGACCTGGATCTTGTGTTTATTGAAGATGGATTGTGGCTTAGCAATCATTGGAAGGATTTGATCAACCATTTCGGGTCTTAATTCATTGTTCACGCTTACGGTGGCTTTCAGACCGCATCCATTATTTTCGTCTCCCCCCCCCTCTTTTCTGAACATAGATGGACTCGTCCATCTGAACAAACTGTCAAATCGCTCTCCGTGGTGCTAACGTAAAAAAAAACGCCACTTTTTTCTAATGTTCTTGCTGTGGTTTTCACACCTGATGATGATTGCTTGTGTTGCAGTCGAAACGTCGTGAGAATTTTATTGTTTTATATTTTTATTATTTTATTGTTTCCCTTCTACGTGACTTTACCGAAGAAAAAAAAACAAGAATATGAATCCCTGCAGTCACGAAAGCTTTTAATCAAAATTTAATGCATATATAATCATAGTATGTTTTTGTTTGCATTTTGACTGCAGGTATTGCGGTTCATGCAGACATGAATCCTTGTAAAAAGGTTTCAGTTTTGTTGCCAGGAAAAAAAAAATGGGAAAAACCCTATTGTTAGATGATGCCAGTGTTGATGGTCATGGGCGACGGCGCTGGTAACGGATCCCGCCGGGTACGTGCGCGTGTGTCGCCGTAGCGCGGTCGACGTCCTGCGCCTGGCCTCCGTGAGCAGTCACATGTCGCTGCTCATCTCTCGCGACGACGAGGCTCGGTGAGTGGCGACGGCTCTACGCCCCGTGCAACCTCCTCCTCGCTCCGCTTCTCCCATGGGCTCCTCGGAGCGCTGTGAACACAGTGACCCGAGTTCGATTCTGCTTACGACCAATAACAGTGGCAAATATCTGAACCCGTTACGGGGCCTCCCCTAGCTCGACGCAGCCTTTCAAATAGCACCTGGTGTGATGTGTAAACATCGGCACCGGAGAGACAAATGCAGCAGCAGATCACGCTTTCCCACCTGATGTCGGACACTTGTGTGTTGCGCCCGAAACGTCGTGATTTATTTTATTTTCTACCTACGTGACTTTACCGAAGGAACCAAAGAGTATGGATTCCTGCAGTCACGAAAGCTTAAAATCAAGATTGGACGTGGTGCTCGCCACCCACCCCCTTGTGTACCATGCTGGCCTTCAAAGGTGCTCACAAACGGCACTTGCCCCAATAGTGTTAAAGGTAATACAGGGATCTTTGTTTAGCTTTATAAGCCCAGCTTAATCTGCTTATTTATTAAAATGTTTATAATTGTCAAGCAGTCCTCGATGGGCACTCGAGCTCAGCGAGGTATCTTGTGTTGGCTTTGGTAAGATGAACGTTTGCGAGTGAGGCAGCAGTTGCTCTTAGTCTGCGTTGAGTAATGTGCTGCTATGCTTTTGCAAGTTGTCGGAGCTCGGCCACAATGAAAACTGGCATACATTGGGGGGTGCCACGGTGGCGAGATGTTAAGTTTCTCGCCTGGAATACAGGAGGTTATGGGTTCGATCCCGATGCTGATACCTGCATATTTGGAGTTTTAAAATTCTCCCCGTGGTCACAGGGATTTTTCTCCATGTCCTCTGGTTTTTCCCTCCACATTTAGAAACATGCGTTTACAGTATATGGCTGCTATCAATGTCCACGTGTGATAAGCCACTTCGTTGAGCTATCATTTGTGGCCAGGTCACATCTGAAAAAGGGCTACGTAGCTCGGTGGGGCTTACCTGGTCAAATAAAAAAATATATTTTCGTTTATTTTAATTGCGTGCACTCTGAAGACCCTTACAGCATCCGAGGATCCCCGCAGGTCGCTGGGTGTGGGACGTTCCCCCGCTATAATTAAGATCCACCCAGCTTAATTGAATTAATCCGTTACTCTGTGTGGCACCGCAGTGCGCTCGAGATGCTTATCTGGTGGCACTGGTCATACCCATGATGTTGCAGACAGACTCTTTCCTACAAGGACTAATCTGCATGCCTTTATATCACGTCTCTTTGTGCATCTCTCGTAAGCCCCTCATTTGTATTATTATGGTCCTTTGACATGAGGCTGTGCGTGAGCTAATGAGTGCATGGAATGTCAAGTTGGAGATCACAGTCTGTTCACCACTGTTGCTGGTGGTGCTGGCGCACGCCCGCAATCCAGCACTGCGGAGGTGAGGGGTAGGTCGATCGCACGGATGTTGTGAGACTCTCATCTCGCGGGCATCAAAGTGTCTTACCCTGGCTTGCCAGGAGAAGGCATGGTATGGGTAGTGTTTCCCCCTCGCGAGCGTGGCTTTCTGACCTGCCCCGACTGGACGTCTGTGAAAAATAGCTTTATAGCTCATCGGTATAAGTAAATATTATGATTTTCTCCAAGATGCTCCGGTTTACTCCCGCATGAAAACATTAATCATTTGGACAATAACACCTTAATATAGAAGATCGCAGAGCTTGGACAATTGTTGGCGCTGGCTAACCGCGTGGATGCCTTGCTCGCCTGTTTGTGGTTCCCCGTGCATTTGAGTCATTCTCTCTCTCTTCGAGAGCGAGTGAATACTGTACGGCAAGCTGATAGTCAAATTTACTATCATTGTTGTTACTCATGACAATGTAAAACCGCAGTCCAGTGCTCAATGACTTATCACAGAAAAAATCCTTTGTAAAATATCAACCAAAAGCGTCCAAGCTTTGTGTCCGTGTGTCAAGTTAATTGGATTTTTAGCTTAAACGTCTTGGGGGAACTATGGTCAAAAAGGCATAACAATTGGCGGGTTACCCCATTTGTCAGTGATGGAGAATTCGGAATTTCCGTCCTCCTCCCACACGCGCAAATAAATTCACGAGGAACCGGAAGTGTGGTTCCCTAGAACCACGGCGTCTGGCATGCGTGTGATCGCTCGCTGGACATCCCCTTGCTTGTTGTGACCAGGAGAGAGTTTGCGGAGCTCCTGGAGAAGTACGCGAGTAACAGTGACGCCAGCTCAGCACACAGCTCCCCGACGCCGCCCACGTTAGGTGCCCGCCTGCTTCCCTCTCCCTGGACACACACACACACACGTGGTTTCACAAACAAAGACAAGGATCCCCCGTATAGCCTTAACAGACTATTGGGGCAAGTGCTGTTCGCGAGCACCTATGAAGGCCGGCACGGCACGAGAGGGGGGTTGGTGGCCAGCACCTCGCCCGGCCGCCTTTGTCTCCCTAGCGGCGATGTTTACACACCGCACCGGGCACTCATTTGATGCCGGATAATCACTGGTGTTGGTCGTGAGCAGGGACACACACACACACACGCGCGCGCGTGGATACTCACGCCACCGTGTTAGTTGCAATAAGTTTCAAACAGCAGGCAAAAACGTGTAAAAAACACACCAGCCCTCTGTTGCATTATGCATTTCCTGAAGAAGTGCATTGTGGTTCTTGTTCTTATCTCACCATCAAAATTAGACAGCAGCTGTGATTCAATGGTAGGCAGCTGTTTTTGCCGGCTTCGTCCCCATTATGATTCATCAGCGCAGACAATACCGGTTCACAGTTGTCTATCACCGCTGATGTCGTCTGGTAACAGTTGCTCAAATATATTGTGATCGTGACCAAAGGAAAGAGGACCACAATGCACTTCTTCAGGACCTGCCGACGGTTGTTTGCATAATGCACAGTGGCCGTGTGCTCTTCACACACGTTTGTGTTGTTGTTGTTGCTTTAAACTTGTGGTTTTCTGGCCTACACTGTTATTCCGTTGAGGCTGGTTCCCTCTTCGGTTACAGATTTGACTGTTGGTTGTGGGACCTGATGCAGGCAGTGATGAGAACGAAACCGGCACTAATTGGACACGTGTAGGATGGACAACAACAGGTGAGGTCTTCCTCTCCCGGAAAGAGAGGAAGACCTCACAGAGAATGACTTGACGATGATAACTTCACAAGAGATTGGTGCCAGAAAGATGTGACATGACTTAAGCATATTGGCACAAAGAAAGTGGAAATAAATTACGAAATGTCCAGTGGACACCTACAGCTTCTATCTGCCCATAGATCGTGATGATGATGATGATGTGGTCACGTGCTGCTGCCACCCCTGCCCGTCCACTGTGCAGGAAAGTTCCTAGACAGCACCTCGTCAGCTTCGTCGTCCCGATCTCCGAGTCCCCTGCTCAGCCCCAAGGACAGCCTGAGCCACACCTCGGGGGCGTTCCCGGCCTCGCGCGACTCGCGAGCCACCACGCCCAGCAGGTGCGCACGCACAAACAAAAACAAAGATCCCCCGTGTAGCCTTAATAGACTGGGGGGGCAAGTGCTGTTAGCGAGCACCTATGAAGGTCTGCACGGCACACGAGAGGGTGGGTGGCCAGCACCACGCCCGGCCGCCTTTGTCTCCTCGTGGCGATGTTTAAGATTCGTTCCAAGTGCTAATTTGAGTGTGAGACGCCATAGGGGAGGCCCAGGTCCGGTTCAGATAATAGTCACTCGTGTTGGCCATGAGCGGGAATCGAACTTGGGTCGCCGGGTTCATAGTGCAGGACGCTAATCGCTGCGCCACCGCTTCCCACGCACAAGCACACACACACGCGTGCGCAGACGCAAGCGATCGCGATCGTCTTCGTCAATTTTCTCACCGCACCTCGTTGATTCTCATCGGGGTCTGCGAAACGGGTCTCAAAACAAGTCTCCCACTGCGTTGGTTTTACGTTTCGTCAGATGTGGACACGCACACATGCAGACACGCTCACCTTCCTCAGTCTCAGCTCATCTCTGATAATACATGGGCATTGTCTTTGAAACTGATTGGCCTACACCAGAGACAGCCTTCTTTATGGCCCAGTCTCACCAGTGTTCGACCAGAGAACGCCAAAAGGCGAACGCACAGAGCATGTTTGTGTGCATGTTTTTTCACATGTACGTGCGGTTATTGCAGACTTGATGCCTTGCAATACGGCATCTATTCGGCGTTTGAACATCTTAACACCTCCTGTTTTATTGCCAGAAGGGGTTAAAACCTATTTTTTTTCATCAATTTCATATGGGCAAAAAAGGTCCGATAGATAGAAACTCAAAGTGTATGAAATGTAAAATCTTAGAATTTTGCAGGCACACTGCATTATGGGTAAAACATATGGATAAAAAAATACATAAGTAGAAGGACCATTGCCCGAACCAGTCCCCTGTTATACATATCAGACGACGTACGCGCCACGTTTTGCTGACTGGTTTGCGTGGAGCACGTTCGGTTACCGGGGCTGCGCGGATACCGGAGCTGCGCAGTTACCGGGGCCGCGCGGCTCACGCGTCGATCGCTGGGCCCTAAGACACCACTCTAAAATCTGAGCGGGGGGTTCGTTTTCCCGCAGCCCACAGAGCGAGAGCGGCGCCATCCAGGTGATCTCCCTGGTCAGGACCTCGGGCCTGGGCATCACCCTCATGGGCGGCACGAACCGTCCTGACGGGCCCATGGTGTACGTGCAGGAGGTGCTGCCGGGCGGCGACTGCCACAAGGTCCGTCACGCTCGTTGTGCCGCGCCCGCTGTGCTCTCGCCACCGCCACGTCGCCGAGAGGCACAGTGAACCTGTACACCCTCCAGAAATGGCGCTCCAGAGTTCTCCACTTTGATCGTTGTCGTCATCATGTCATGATTTATCGACTGTGAGATGAAAGCCTCCACAAGACCATCGGACATCTCTCACGGTCGCATGATGATGCAGCAATCTATCCAGCTCCAGCGCGCATGAGCAGATTTCATCGCTCGGTCTCCGCGATGGACGTCCTCTAGGGGGCGCGTTCCCTCTTGTGGTTGTCCACCCGAGTCATCACGACCGCCGGCTATTGTCCCTCCAGAAGGGGCATGTGAGGACAGGGGACCAGCGTTGTGAATTGCTGGGTGCAACCGGTGGTGACTCTGTAAGAAGGGCAGATTAGACTGGGCATCAGCGTGGACTGGGCATCAGCGTGCCGGTGTGTCCGCCCCGCAGGACGGGCGCGTGAGACCAGGGGATCAGCTCGTGGCCATCAACAAGGAGTCGCTCGTGGGCATCACTCACGAAGACGCCAAGGGGCTGCTGACTCGCACCAAGCTTCGGTGAGCTGCACCGCGGCACTCGGATAAAAACCGGAGAGCCGAGACAGCTCCGGGCGTGGAGACGTTGGCACCGTTGGAGACCCCATCCTCTTCCCCCATGTGTCGCCGTGCGCAATGCAGCACGGACGCCGGCGTGGAGATCGCGTTCATCCGAGGGAAGGGTCCCCCGTACTCGAGTGCCCTCCACAGCGTGGCGCTCTACTCCTCGCAGCCCGGCATCCCCAGCACGCAGCCCAAGCAGGTACAGCACAGGCAGGTGCAAGCCCAAGCAGGTGCAGCCCAGGCAGGTGCAAGCCCAGGCAGGTGCAGCCCTAACAGGTGCAGCCCAGGCAGGTGCAGCCCTAACAGGTGCAGCCCTAACAGGTGCAGCCCTAACAGGTGCAGCCCAGGCAGGTGCAGCCCTAACAGGTGCAGCCCTAACATGTGCAGCCCTAACATGTGCAGCCCTAACAGGTGCAAGCCCAGGCAGGTGCAGCCCTAACAGGTGCAGCCCTAACAGGTGCAGCCCTAACAGGTGCAGCCCTAACAGGTGCAGCCCAGCAGGTGCAGCCCTAACAGGTGCAGCCCTAACAGGTGCAGCCCTAACAGGTGCAGCCCTAACAGGTGCAGCCCTAACAGGTGCAGCCCTAACAGGTGCAGCCCAGGCAGGTGCAGCCCTAACAGGTGCAGCCCTAACAGGTGCAGCCCAGGCAGGTGCAGCCCTAACAGGTGCAGCCCAGGAAGGTGCAGCCCAATGATTTACTGCTTGCCAGCTACTATCGACTAGTACTACTCACGTCTTTTTTCAAAATGGAGGCCCACCTTACAGGTGGTGGTTGAACATATTCCTGAGAGGTGCAGAAAGGATTCTTCTGTTTTTAATGACATCAAAAAGTACCGAAACAAACGCACGTGACATTTTCCTTAACTCTGTAAAAAGAAGTGTAGAGCCTGCAATGGAGAGCCCTGTGGGTTTGGAAGGTTTCCAGTTCTGTCTGTGGTCCACAGACCCTTGCTTAACAAGTGGTGTCACTGATGAGTTTTGTTCATAAATCAGTCACGATTTTGTCACCACTTTTGCTTCAGGGTGCCATCAGAGTTTAGAATGAGCTGTGGAATGATTTTCACGTCGTCGTGTCGTTGCAGGGAAATTCTCGGCAAGGCTTGGCGCCCATACCAGTCATCAACTCGGCAGGGTCCACACACGCAGGTATAGCATTCATGAAGAAAAAGACGTCACGGGGTGTTGTGGCAACTCCTGTTACCGAGCGCCGATTGCGGTTGTCACGGCACATCAGGGGACGGTGCAGCCAAGCGCTCACGCCCGGCTGCCTTTGTCTCGCCGGTGCTGACTTTTTGAAAGACACCGCACCGGGTCCTAGTCATTGAAGGCCGGGCCGATGTGGCCACCTCTGTTGACGTGTTCTCCGGAGTGACGAACGAGCGCCCGTTTGTGTCACAGGGGGGCGGCACTTGAGCAGGAAGCTGTCGCTGGACCCACACGTGCGGCTCAAGGTGGACAAGCTGGAGCTGGTGAGAGAGGGATGCCATGGGTCCTCGCAGCTAAAACGAATCGGCCGCTCACGTGTGTCCTACCTGGCGTGCGAGATTCCAGAGCTAGTGGCCTAACTCTCGTTCTGTGTAGCTCTGCAAGTGTGCTGCATTCTGCGCCTGTCTGTTCTCTTCTGTGTGCGTATGTGGGTGTGTGTGCGTGTGTGCGTGCGTGGGCGTGTGTGCGTGTGTGGGTGTGTGCGCGGGGAGCGGTAGTGTAGCGGTTAGCGTGCTGCGGTACGAAGCCGGCGCCCCGAGTTCGATTCCCGTTCACGGTAGACACCTGTGGCGATTATCTGAACCGGTCCTGGGCCTCCCCTAGGTGTTGGCCACCAATCCGCTAGTGTATTGTGCCAGCCTTCATAGGTGCTCGCTACGGGGGGTCTTTGTCTTTGTGCTGTATGTATGTGGAACTTCTTTTGCACCATACATAGCCAACTGTGGTAATTGGTGGTGCGGGGGAAGGATAAAAAAAGTAAACATAAAAGCAGTTCTAAAGAAATACGTTTTTAACATAGAGTTAAAAGTGCATAGCTCCAGTGGCTTCCAATATGGGAAGGAAGAGCGTTCCAGATGGCCGCAGAGGTGCACCTAAAAGCGTGCGATGGAATAACCGTCTTTGTTCAAAAGCCAATGCGAGGATGACCAGAGTTTGCGTGATGATGGTCGATGCTCCTTGACAAGATGAGCTGCCTTGTTAACTGTCTCGAGACGTGCGTGTGCGCTGCCTGGCTCCGCTGCTGATCGAGTGATGGCGTGGTGTGGTGACGTGGTGTGGTGACGTGACGTGGTGACGTGACGTGGTGTGGTGACGTGGTGTGGTGCCGTGGTTAGGTGACGTGGTGTGGTGACGTGGTGTGGTCACGTGGCGTGGTCACGTGGTGTGGTGACGTGGTGACGTGACGTGGTGACGTGGTGTGGTGACGTGGTGTGGTGACGTGGTGTGGTGACGTGGTGTGGTGACGTGCGGTGTCATCTCGCGGTGTCAGGCGCTGCGCTATCTGGGTGTGGAGGCGCGGGAAGAGCAGCAGGAGGCACTCCGCGAAGCTCTGCAAGTGGATTCGCGCGGAACGGTCAAGTACGGAGGTGAGAAGCTCGCTCCCCTCCCAGTCTTGAGCCCACTTCCAGGCTGAATCTGTGCATTTCAATGTGTGGGTTTGTATGTGTGTTGAACTTGTTTCGCACCGTACGTAGCCAACCGTGCTTATCGGAGGTGCGGGTATGGGTGTGTATGGGGACCGGTAGTGTGCTGCTCTGCGCTACGAACCCGGGCGACCACAGTTTGACTCCCGCTCACAGTCAACACCGGTGACGATTAGCTGAACCGGCCCTGGGCCTCCCATAGGTCGACTCGGTCTCAAATTAGTACCTGGTGCGGTGTGTAGTAAACATCACCACTGGGGAGACAAAGGCGGTCGGGCGTGGTGCCGGCCACCCACCCCCGCCTCGTGTGCCGTGCCGGCCTTCACAGGTGCTCGCTGAACAGCGCTTGCCCCAACAGTCTGTTAAGGCTACACGGGAGGTCTTTGTCTTCGGTCGCAGATTTTGTGCGGGCAGCTCGCCAGGTGTTCTGCCTGCAGCTGGAGGAGATGGGGCCGGCTCAGGGCGCGGTGCTGGTCGGCACGAGCGAGCTGGCCGCCCTGCTGGAGCCGCTGTCCCCGCTCGGCCGGGTCAGAGACGCATGACGGGCGAGCGGCGCTCGTCACCGGGACGATCGCTTGCTCCGCGTGTTGCCGCGTCACCGTCACGCAAACCCCATCCCTCCCCCCTCCACCCCCACAAGAAGGCCTGGAGGGTGGTGCCCAGTACATACCAACATGTTGCGGTTTTACTTTCCAACACCCCGGTGTGCTGGACCAGTAACGGACTGGCACATTTCAGGTACGCGACAAACCTTACTAATTGGCCGTGTCGGGTGGTGGCGGGCTTGACGACACATTTATACTTACGCGCTCTACCCCCAAAACACCTTTACTATGAAAAATACAAACCTCACATTTGTCAATAACGCTGCGGCCGTTAAAAGTCAAAATATACAACGCGACTTGTCGGGCAATGGCCCCGCCTGATGGCACGTGATGGACCATCAACCGTATCAGAACTTAAACATCAACATGCCGAACAATGTAAGACAGGCTGCAGTAGTGCGATTGTGGCCATGCAGCCCGAACTATCGAGCGTGTCGTAAACCCACACACAGGAGTCGACGCTCCTTCCAACGCAGGAGGAGGAGGAACAGAAAACTGCACAAATTGTCTCTCATAAAGCCCTCTCGTTGTGGCCTAGAGCAGACTTCGACATTGACGTTTACCTCCGTTGTTTGCGTTTTGTGGGCGCAGGGCTTTGGCAGCGACGATGGGGAAGCGGAGCGCCTCAGGAGGGAGAGGGATGAAGCTCTCTTCGAGAACCACAGCCTCAAGGTGAGGCGCGACCGGACTGGGCGTGATCAGTCGATTCAATCCGTACAACAAGCTGCGTGCTTGTTGTACGGATTATATCGTGTTCTTAGCTCTTTCGGTAAAGTCACGTTGAAGGGAAACAATAAAATATATATAAAACAATAAAAAAATTATCACGACGTTTCGACCATAACACAAACGGTCGTCACACCTGATGACGACCGTTTGTGTTATGGTCGAAACGTCGTGAGAATTTTTTTATTGTTTTTATTATATTTTATTATTTTATTGTTTCCCTTCAACGTGACTTTACCGAAAGAGCTTAGAATATGAATTACTGCAGTCACGAAAGCTTTTAATCAGGATTATATCGTGTTCATTTTTCCACCTCCCTCCCCACACCCATCTCCTCATGATGGTTTACCCCACACCCCTTCGCCCCTACCCTCCCCTCCACCCACCCCGGGTTTTCTGTCCCCTTCCCCAGGAACGATCGACGCGTTACACCGAGCTTGCTTGGCTACCACAGGAAAAAACATGCCAAAAAATATAAAAGTATTTATTTAATTTTACCAGGCAAGGCCCACTGAGACTCGTATGGCTCTTTTATCACAAATGATAGGCCAACGAAGTGGCCTGTCATCACGTGGAAATTTATAGCAAGAGCCAAATGACCTCAATGCACGTCGATTCTCAAATGTGGAGGGAAAAACCGGAGTACCGGGATCGAACCCACGATCTCCTATATACCAGGCGAGGTTGTGAACATCTCGCCGCTCATAATAAAGGTTTTTGGGTTAGATCGTGTAAGTATCGATGTGTCGTAACCCTCCACCACCCGACGCAGCCAGCAGCTCACCGGTGTGTTGAAGAGTGAATCCACAACATTTACAATTTGAATACGACGTTTCGCTGGTAATTACGTCCAGCATCATTGGGCAATTTTCCATAATAGTGATGCAATCCACCAGAGCAAGATGACATCATCACTGAACCAATCAGGGCCCTGCCCGAGTCATCCGCCGGTGCGGCCGGTGGTTCCGTGTACGCGTTGTGCTGACCGGGGCTTGCGCGTTCAACAGGCCCGGCTGAGCGAGGTCGAGCACTCGAGCAAGGATCTGCACGAGGAGCTGCAGAAGGCAAAACAGGTGAGGGCCACGGTGGGCCACAGGGCACGACCCACGGACACCAACCACTGGGCCGATCATTCGTAGATTCCCGCGGAGTTGGAGTGACATCAACACACGGCGCCGCCGCCACCACGGTCCTTCGCACTAGCAACAAGCGCCATTCGCCACTAAGTGGCGGGCACGTCACCACGTCGCTTGTGCCAGGCACGTGCACATTGAGGCCGCGTGAAGCGTCGAATGCCCGCCGGCAGGAGGTCACGGGGCAGACCCAGGTGCCACGGGTCGACTGACCGAGATGACCGAGATGACTGGCCGGTGCACCACCTGTGCCCCCTGCTGGGCCAACCAGCACCATCAGCACGAGCAGCACGAGCAGCACCAGCCACGTGTTTGCTGTTGCAGAGTATTTTTGTTTACCCAGCAAAGCCTTGGGAGGCTCCTTGCTAAATGTTTCATGGTCGGAGGCGACGATCGCTGCTGTGCGTTTCCCAATCAGAATCAGAATCTTTATTTTGGACTGGAGGAATCCGATGAGCCATGAAGCTCTTTTTCATAGCTCTCCGGTAGTTTGCGAGCAGATTTGGTGTGCGACAGCCTGCGCACAGTGGCCTGCTCTTCGAATGGTGTCACGTGGCTTCTTGACGTCGACCGAGAGACAGATGGGGGGCGGGGGCGTGCGGGGGGCGTGCGTATTTCACCATTCATTCGCCCGCAGCATTACCCAACGGCGGCCTGCCGGATTCGAATCGGCGAGCCGCGAACGCGCTGCCGCTGCCGGTCCGTGTCCGCCCCTCGCAGGAGGCGCAGGTGGCGCTGGAGGAGAGCCGCGCGCTGCGGAACCGCGTGCACCTGGCGGAGGTGGCGACGCGGCAGGCGCACAGCATGGAGCAGGACTACGAGGAGGTGGTGCGGCTCCTCGAGATCGAGCTGTCCGACGTCAAGGGCCAGCTCATCGACCTCGAGCGCAAGGAGGCCGCCAAGGTGCGCTGGCGCGAGCGGGCGGCTCCGGGGCGCCGGCGACACGAGAGGGAGAGAGGGAGAGAGAGGGAGAGAGAGGGAGGCCTCGCAGAGTCTCGTGACTCTTTTCGGGAGGGTCTTGACACGTCATGTTTTTTTTTCGGTAGCGACGAATGCTACGGTGATAATTGCAGTCGAATAATTTGCGGGCACTGTATTTTTCGCACTTGGCAAATTTGGACCGACGCTACGCGTGGGGCTGTTGTTGCCGTCGCTCTTGCGCATCGCAGCGACACCGAGCGATCTCGAAGCGTGCTCTCTCCGCTGCTGCACGCGTGCAGGACGAGGTGCTGGAGCTGAGGAAGAGAATCGCCGTGCTCGACTGCCAGCTGCGCAAGTCCGAGATGACGAGGAAAACCTTCGAGGTCTCCACTGACAAGCTGCTGCAGTTCGTGGAGGTGACCCTGCAGCAACGGCAAAATACCTCGGCGGCCTCGTGCACACACGAGCGCGCACGCTACGAACCCCGCGAGTTCCATTCCTGCTGGTGCTGGCCACCCATCCCGTCGTGCGCCGTACCGGCCTTCGTAGGTGCTCGCTAGCAGCACTTGCCCCAACAGCGTGTTAAGGCTACATGGGGGATCTTCGTCTTTGTTTGTCACATGAGGAAGCCTTGGCCTCCCTCTTGGCGTGCGAGAGAGAATGTGAGCGAGTGCTGTGGGGTGAGCGGCCGCGTGATTGTGTGCCAGCGTGCGCAGTGAGGAGCAGCCCGAGTTCAATTCCTGCTCACGACCAACACCAGTTACGTTTATCTGAACTGGTATTGGGCCTCTCCTAGATCGACTCAGCCTTAAATGAGTACCTGGTGTGTAAACATCAGCACCGGGGAGACGACTGCGGCTGGGTGCGGTGTGGCCACCCACCCCACTCCTGTGCCGTTTTGGCCTTCATGGAAGTGCTCGCGAACAGCACTTGCCCCAACAGACCGTTAAGCCTATATGGGGGATTTTTGTATCTTTGTGTGTGTGTGGTCGCCATGGGCTGCTGCGTGTGGATTCTCCTTGCGCGTCAGACGGTGCAGGAGGTCCTGTCCAGTCTGGTCCCGGCGCAAGGACAGCTGGCGTGAGTATCCATGCATGCACACACACACACTCACGCACGCACGCACACACACGCACGCACGCACACACACACACGCACACACACACGCACACACACAGACATACACACGCACACACTCACGCACGCACACAGACATACACACACACTCACGCACGCACGCATGCACACACGCATACACGCACGCACACACATACACATACACGCACGCACGCACACACACGCACGCGCACACACACGCACGCACACACACACACACGCACACACAGACATACACACGCACAGACATACACATGCACACACTCACGCACACACACACGCACGCAGTCCAATAGGAGGGCGCATCTCGTCATTGACCAGAGGAATTGTCATCATGCAACCCTCCTCTCCATTGTATTGTCTCCACTCAAATTCACCATTTTATTCGAGAGTCTAATTGTTTTCGTGTGCCATTCATGATGTCCCTCTTGTTTGTTTCGTATCACCATTACACGCGTGCGTGCACGCGCTGCGTACATGGGGAGCCAGTGGCGTCGTGGTTAGCACACCTGTGCTATGCACCTGGTGACCCAGGTTAGATTACCGGCCATTGGCCAACACCTGAACTGGTTCAGGGTCCTCCCCCCCCCCACCTCCAATTGACGCATCCTTAAAAATGCAATTTGTAACATTGCACGCATTTCGTGAAATAGACGAATATGTGTTCAGACACAACGCGGGAGGCGTGAAGCCAGCCTCAAGAGTCTCTTGTACGCTCGTCGGTGGCAGGAATGCCGCCTTCAACTGCATCTTGGCGGGAGCTTTGACGCCGCGCGTTTGAATGTGCAAACGTCGCTCCTCGGTGGGGGGGACAAAGGCGACCTGGCGTGGCGCTGGCCACACCACCCCCTCCGGCGCGACACTGACCACACCACCCCCTCCGGCGTGGCGTTGGCCACACCACCCACTCCGGCGTGGTGCAGACCACACCACCCCCTCCGGCGTGGCGCTGTCCACACCACCCTCTCCGGCGCGGAGCTGGCCACACCACCCCCTCCGGCGCGATTTTAGGCCACACAACCCCCTCCGGCGTGGTGCTTGGCCACACCACCCCCTCCGGTGTGGTGCTGGCCACACCACCCCCTCCGGCGTGGCGCCGATCTGCGCTTGGTGTTCTTTCACAGTGGTCACCCCCACCAGAGTCCAGCCATTCCTGGGGGAGTGAGTGGGCATGCGTGGGGAGCCGTAGCGCAGCGGTTAGCGCTACGCTGCGCTACGAAGCCCGGCGCCCCGAGTTCGATCATCTGAACCGGTCCTGGGCCTCCCCTAGGTCGACTCAGCCTCGAATGAGTACTTGGTATGATGTGTAAACATCACCACTGGCGAGACAAAGGCAGCCGGGGCGTGGTGCTGGCCACCCTCACCCTCATGTGCCGTGCGGGCTGTCATAGGTGCTTGCTGACGAGACTTGCATCCAACAGTCTGTTCAGTCTATACGGGGGAATCTTTTTTTTTGTGTGCATGTGTGCAGGCTGACGAGAGGCGAGACGGTGGGGGTGCATCACCTGTCCCCCGTGGTGTCGCGCGGAGTGCGGAACGGCACTGCCAGCTGCCTTGGCCTGGCGGCCGAGGCTCGGGAGATCAGCAAGTCCATTCGCGGGCTCATCGAGGCCGACTGTGAGTGTGGGCCACAGGGCACGACCCACGGACACCAACCACTGGGCCGATCGTTCATAGATTCATAAAGTGCCTTGTTCCAGGGCACTTTATGGCAATTACAGGATTGTGCATATGATAGTGGTTGAGATAAAGAGCGGGGTTATTAAAAGTGGTGGTGTAGTTCCGGTGACAGTGGATATGGGTGGGTTGGGGTAGGCCTGGTGTTAGCTGGGGAGTGGGGCCAGGGAGTGGCTGTAGCAGGATGATGATGGGCTGGGGAAGAAGGGATAGCGGTTGTTTTAAGGGAGGAATGGAAGCAGGTGATAGTGAAGATGATTGTTTTATTTGCAGTGGGAGTTTGTTCCAGTGAAGGGGAGCAAGAAGGGAAAAGGTGGGAGAACGCGGGACTGGGCGCAGGACGCTGAGAGGGACGCTCGAGATTGGGTGCTTAAAGTACTGTATGGGACGGAGTAAGATATTCATTGAGATTTTTCTTGGCGAATGCATTATCTGCCTCTAGCAGATGTAGTAAAGTGTGTCCCAGAACAACCACCACCCAAATCAAATAGTATTTTGACTTTTTTGGTCCTTGTGTTTATTTTTCTCCCCAGGTTTGCCATATGGCTGGGAAGAGGCCTACACAGCGGATGGCATCAAGTATTTTATAAAGTACGTGTAGCGAGTCGCCACACCTCACGATGCAGGAATAATAAAGGATTTAACAGCCCCTTTTGTGAATCTACTGCTGGATGGAACCCCTTCCTCGTGGCATGTCACCTCTTGCGGTTCAAACCTTCGTTTGAGAGGCCGCTGGCTAAGCTGCGTGGTCAGCAGCTGTTTATGGTAGAACACTGGCCATGGGGAAACAACGGCGTTTCACATCCTTAATTATTTCCCCAAAAACTCCGCGGGTTCCACTTCACACGCTGCACTGAGCTACGAGCAGTTGGAGCCGTCGTTTCGAAAGTTCAGAGCAGCAAGCTGTAGTCGGTCCGCGCTGTCCCCTCTCCATGTAATTAATCACGGGTGAGCTCACACCGGCTACAACACCATGAAGCTAAAATGTTAGCGGTGCAACGATTCACTCCATGGTGATTTGGTGAGTTGTTGCAATTCACGCGGTGTTATTTCAGTCAAAGAATATATTTTTAGCCGTGTTTTTTTATATCTAGTTTGCATTATTTATCCTTTTCTTGCTCTCGCTCGAACTGTTTTTCATCCATTTGTCTCATATATAACGTTAGCAAATTATTCCTTTGTACATATCGCTAAAACGATTCGCACACACACCCACGTCGTTAGCCTTGAGTGTGAAACTTAAAAACAGAAATCGACAAATCGATGCCACGTTACAACCTACAAAGAGCAAGCGGAAAAAAAATACCACGGCTCGCGTTTAAGCGGAAGGATAAAGTGTACGAGAGCCGACGCTTCCACTTTGTCACGTGGCGCGGCGAGCACAGAGGAGTCTGGTTTAGTGTCACGCTCCGCCACCCGTGCCCGCAACCTCCAGAGCGCGGCACAACCCCCGGGTCACAATAATCGCGCTCGAGCCAGGAGTGCGATTGAGCTGGTGGTGACCGAGTCCGGCGCGGTCGCCGCGATCGCCGTGACCTTTCCTCCCGAGTGCTGGTCTCGGGAGGAGCCGCGCTACGGTGCATACAACTCTTCCGAGACGACGCTTCACACTTCGAGGGTCGTGTTTCGTGACGCTGATGTCGTCGTCGCCGCCGTTGTATTTGCACCCTGGCCCCCACCCGACCCCACCCCACAGTCACGTGACGCAGACGACCTCGTGGGTTCACCCGGTGACCAGCACGCTCAGCTTGCCCCTGTCAGACGACGCGGCCAATGGGGTTGCTGGAGAGTCCACCACGTAGCCAATCGCGCGCGAGCTTGGACCAGCTATGGCCGGTGGTCACCTGTGTCGAGGTCGCGGAGGAATGTAATGGAAGAATGTTACTTTTGACACTTTTTTTTAGTAGTGTGCCTACGAGCAAATGTATCATATCCATGTACAAAGAAGAACCCCGTGGACTTTGTAAATCAGAAGAAAGCCAGAGCACGTGATGCCTCCCGACGTGGTTTAAATATTAAACGCATCCCGTCGCAGGGCCGTGAAGGATGGATGCCAGCATCGGGAGGCCTTCATCCAGCAGTGTATAGACCTTGGCAAAGGATGATGTATATGAAGCAAAACAGTTTAGTGTTACCGGTACATTGGTTGTAGAAGTTATGTCTTTCATTAGCGCGTTGTTTTTATTTTAAGGTGTCAACAGCCCTGTAACTATCGCAGCCCAGCACGTATATTTTTACTGGTATTTGTTCACAGTTTTTAAACCATTTTACTTTACTTTAGCGCAGAGAACATTAGCGGCGCGTCAGTTTAAATTCAAACTGTGAAGACAAAACTGTGGGATTTGCTTGGGTTTTGCAACCACGTGGATTTATTTCATGATAAAAAAAGGTGTGTGTATTTCTGGGAATCTGTAAATACAGAAGGGATAGTGTTATTTTCAACGACATGCCTTATTTCGTTTTCATACGATGCCGAGTATTCGTGTTTGAAGGAAACAAAAAGGGCGTTGCCGTTTGAACACCGCGATGTAGGGTGGCAGGCTGGCTGTGTGACAGCCGTGTCTCGCCTTTATTGTGACCCATCACTTTCCAAGGCCCCATTGCATATTGCCACACAGCAACAACAAAACGGCGTTCGATGCTCAAGTGGCAATGACGTGCACCATGGCGCCTACGCCGCACTAGTTGCACCTCGAGGCCACTTGAAGTCTGGAAGGCTCGCTGCTAGTAGGAGATCACGGCACAGACCCAAGTGTTACGAGTTGATTACTACCCTTTTTTGGAGGCCGTGTCCTGTGTACACCTTGTGCCACATATGGACAGCTATCACTGGAGGCTCCCCTTGGCTAGACTTCAGGGCATTGAAACGGTTCAGATGAGATGTAATGCAGGGCACTTGATTTCCTAGGCAATTAATTGCCCTATGAATCCGAATCCTTAAGGTGACATTAACATGCACTTGTGCCAGACTAGATGCAGTTGGAGGCCATGAGAAGTGATCGAAGGATTGCCAGCAGGAAGAATATGATACAGACCCAGATATGAACTAGCTCAGGTCACTGGCAGATGTACATGCGCTCTCCACTGGACTAACTCAGTTTTATCTACCTGCTGCTCTGCTCGTTGTTGTGAGCATTGTTCCCCTACCTCCTGCTGTAGTCGAGGATGGCGGCAGCTGACCAACACCCATTAACATCTTGCGCATCCCCCTCCATCAATCCTCATGTTGACACCACTCGTGAAAGCCATTGCCACGCACTCACACATACACATTCCCCGAAGACAAACTGGCATGTTCACAAAGATGATATGTATTCAAATATTTTTTCTCATTAAAATACAAAGTGAGCTCCGTCCGTCCGTCCATTATAGATGTTTTTTCTTTTTAAGGCCACAGTGTTATCCACAATCGTGTTGAATGTTTGGTCTAAGATGATGTGGCAGCATAGTCCACTCGGATTATCATTCCTCAGCTTAGGCACCACCGCCTTGTGGCTTCTGGGCCACGTTTTGCCGTGGCTGGGTCTGACCGACGCCCGCTGGATTTGTAAGCGAGCACTTTCGAAACGTTCTTGCTCCATCCGTGCACGCGCAACCTCATTCCCCGTCGACACCGCACAGCCAATGAGACCACCACCACCTCCTACACCAGCGGGCAAGAGGAGCTCACAATGCAACTGTGGTCACCATTCTCAAACCATGGCCCACGCAGTAACGCCACTGCCAGCTTCGATTATTCGCCAGCAGCGTTCCAGATGTTCACCGTGAGGTTATTCCCGAAACCATCCACTGGCTCGCCTCGCTAACCTCCACATGAACATTTGAACGCGGCTGACCAACTCTCCGACACGAAAAGAAGACTGCTCATCTCGCCGCAGTTTTGTAACGACAGCCTAGCGGCAGCGCGTTCGTCGCTTGTTGCAAGAAGTTCGCGGTTAAAATCCAGCGGCTGCCCTGGTTATAAACTGCGGGTGTAATAAACCGTAAAAAAACACACACACACACGGGTCGCCTGCATCACCAGTGGACGTTAAAGATCATCCATCGACGTCTTTCGCAAGAATAGGCTGTTGTGTGCCGAAGTTCGGGTCCACATTTTGCCAAATTCTAAAATTAACCGCAAAATATTAAATCTGGAGAGCGCACTGTCATGATCGCCTGCAACTACTGGCAGTCTGATGCCCCTTTGCTGGCCGGTGCTGCCTACACCTGCTCCAAACAGCTACCACCCTTAATATAGGTTTTATTTTGTGTTAGATCGCGATCTAACCTAAACTCGGGTCGCCAGCTTCGTAGTGCGGTGCGCTAACCGCTACGCTGCCGCTCCCCAAAATACACACATCTAAAAATCACGTTCCAGTCTTATTACCGTACATTACTATTACCTGGTCACATTACTCTAGTCGTTTATATGGAGTGCTCTTGCCAATACAATCTGGAAACCCAGCAGAATTTGTTTCACAAGTGTTGACTGCTGATGAGAGCCCGATGGTTAAACCTTTGAGTATTGGTCTGGGAAGCCAATAACCTGATGGAACTAAATATTGTTTTTCTATCTTTGTATGAAGGATATGGAGCTGGTAAGAGGTCTTTGTTGCCCTGGTGCGAACAGAGATATCATCAGCCATGCGGTGCAGATTGGCACCCTGCTCTCAGAGGCACCTGTTTACTGGTGGTGTTTGCAGCTCAGATAACAGCCACATGTGACCACGAGGACAAAGAGGACGTTTATCATAATAAACTCGAATGCACATCCACGCAATGTATGGAGAACCAATTTCGCACCGTACGTAGCCAACCGTGCAAATCTGGAGGTGCGGGGGGGGGGGGGGGGAAGGACAGCAAACCAAACACAAAAAGCAGTTCTAAAGAAATTCGTTTTCAAGATGGATTTAAAAAGTGCATCGCTCCGGTGGCTTCCTAAGATCGGACGGAAGAGCGTTCCAGACGGCCGCAGTAGCGCATCTGAAAGCGCCGCGCGATGCGGTGACCACCGCCTTTGTTCGCTGCCCAGCCAGTCAAAAGTCGCTGCGAGGACCTTATTATAATTCGGATTCGGTGAAAAAGGGGTTTTGTTTGCCACGAGGCTTGGGTATTTGAGCTTGAAATAAATAGTCGCTACTTCTAACATATGCACAATAACGCAAAACTTAGACCATGTCCAGATTTAATGTATACAAAAAACTTAGTTGTCCTTATCCGGACCATGTGGCTTGGCAGTTAAAGAGAGAGTGGCTCACAATCGGAAGGTCGCGATTTCAAATCCTGGTTTGAAGGGGTTGACGCAGCCCCATCATCCCTCTAGGGTCGATGACGGTAAATGAATAGCCGCCCCGGTCATAGGAATGTGGAATTTCCACCACTGGAAATGCAGTGCACTTCATGGGAAATAAGCACCAACAACCTCAATGTTGTTATTGAGCATGAAATCTGATTATTATTTTCTTTTTCAGTAAAGGTGTTATATTGTGTCTTGGGTTTTCTTCATTCACGTAGTTTAGCAGAGTTTATTTTTTTTAAATGTTGGCAGTAGGAATATGAACATCGAGTGAATTGAAACGGGCTTCGGGAGTGGGCATTCAAAAACAATCGCAACGATTTGGAGATGTGAAACCCCACGCCGATGGCTCGAGTGTCCGCGTCTCGAGTTTCTCGGGGCGCGTGGTCGACGTGAAAACAAAGATAATTCGACTTTGTCCCGTAGAGTGCTCAGTTGTCAAATATAGTTTTTTTTTTAAACTGATCGGTTTCACCTACATCCAGAACATCAATTGAGGGACCGCCCCCCCCCCCCCCCCCCCCCCACACACGCTGGAAGAAAGCGTGGAATGGGAAATATCACCACAGTGGATTGGTTGGATAACTTTCAAATGACCCGAGGCCTAGGTCGGGTGCAGGAAAAGTAAATTGGGAAATTATATTAAAGCATGGAATGGGACCTTTTTGCACGCATCAAAGTAAAAGGTTTCTACGTGGTGTTTGAACATCTTAACACAACTGTTTTATTGCCGCAAATGGTAAAACCTTTTAATATTTTTTTCATACTTTGATACTGGCAAAAAGGTATCCCACGATACAGCCGCTAAGCCCCAGCTATAAATGCTCTGATAGTGGCATTGTCTTTGCACTGTTCGCCTTTTGGCGTTGTTCTCTGATCTGACGCTGGTGAGACTTGGCCCTGAAGAATACCGTCCTCCGGTGTAGAACAATCAGTTTCAAAGACAATGCCCATATATGTTCAGAGAATGTTTGTTTGCATGTTCACCACAAGTAATGTATGTGGTTAATGCAGGACTTGATTCCTTACAAAGGGTTTCTATTTGGTGTTTGAACGTCTGAATGACCTGCTTTATTGCCAGAAAGGGTAAAACCTACCCTTATTTATTCAGACCATATTAAAGCATTTCGAGTGTAACGTGTTTGACGGAGCTACATCATCTTTACACCACTGGAATCTCCACCACTGGCTCAGGAGGGAGAGTGGTGGGGGGGGTCAAACACATGAACGCCGCCTCAATTGCTCGTTCGAGCAGAACAAAGTAACAAACGAAACAAGAAGCAATCGCCCCGAGTCTTGTTGTTGGCTTGGATCGTTCCAATCAAAGGCACAAAGCGAGAACGCGCCGGGTGCGACGTCCCTCCAAGTGAAAAGTAGAAACAAATACTACGGGCCCCGCGCTAAATGCTTTCGAGCTATCAATTCCGGTTCAGTGATTGTGCACTTGCTCTATTACTATAGTACTATACCGCCTTCAACTTTTATGAACGACGACCGGGCGTTTAAGGTTAGCGATTTGTCGTATTATACTGCTGTATAGTAAATGAAAAAATACAATGACTTTACTATGCAAGTAAAAAAAATTGTTTAAATATTGATGTGTTTCTTTTTTTTATTTTAGGGCCCCTTTATAACATATGCTACAGGTCCCGCACGAGCTTCATCCGGCACTGCCAGTATGCACCCCCCCTGCGTTATTCCGTGAGCCAAGCGTTGGTGCGACAAAGCGACACAGATAGAGAGGGCCACGCACGACAAAGCCATCGGCCAACGTCAGACCGACTTCGTGCTGCCCCGGGGCGACACGGAGCGAGCGCTTAGAAGCGAAGCCTCAAGTCTCGCGCGGCGATGCTCTCGTCCAAAAGGGTCGACTGATCTGGGTCGTCGGAGACCAAACGAGTCGGCAAAGACAAAGGATTCCCCTGCTGCCCCGTTATAGCCTCAACACACTGTTGGGGCAAGTGCTGCTGTTAGCGAGCACCTACGAAGGCCGACACGGCACACGAGGGGAGTGGGTGGCCAGCACCACGCCCGGCCACCTTTGTCAGAAAGGGTTTTATTCGCCATGAAAGTTCACACCGACACGGAATTTACTTTGGCAGGATGGTGCATACATTCAACATAGAGGAATCTAAGATCTTAAGTTTTAAACAAGTCTTACTATAATAAGGGTTAAAAGTCTAACTAACACCAAGGGGCTGAAGTATATAAAATTGAATAAATATCGAATATAAAATAGTTTTAAGATATAATTTAAAAATAAAAAATACAAATAGGTTAACATAGTTAATATCGGAAAGGTGTCATTATGTAGATAAAATGATAAAATCAGTGTAAGATCTTGGCCTTGTTTAACAGGTCAGCAGCAGATGGGAAGAAACTGTTTTTATGGCGTGAGGTTTTGGTCCTGATGGACCGAAGCCTTCTGCCGGAGGGGAGTAGCTGAAACAGAGAGTGTCCAGGGTGGGAGGAATCGGCCATAATCTTCCTCGCTCGCCTCATGGTCCTTGTCGTGTTCAGGTCCTCGAGGGTTGGTAGATTGCAGGCAATTACCTTCTCAGCAGTGTGGATGATACGCTGCAGTCTGCTCTTGTCCTTGGCAGTGGCAGCAGCATACCAGATGGTTATGGAGGTGAGGATGGATTCAATGATTGCTGTATAGAATTGCACCATCATTGTCTTTGGCAGGTTGAATTTCTTCAGCTGCCATAGAAAGTACATTCTCTGTTGAGCTCTCTTGGTGAGGGAGCTGATGTTCAGTTCCCACTTGAGGTCCTGGGAGAGAATAGTGCCCAGGAAGCGGAAGGACTCTACAATTTTGACTGGGGAGTCTAACAGGGTGATGGGGGTGAGTGGGGCTGTATTCTTCCTGAAGTCCACAACCATCTCAACTGTCTTTAGAGCATTTAGCTCTAAGTTATTCTGGCTACACCAGGTCACCAGGTTGTCAGCTTCCCACCTATAGTCAGACTCATCCCCACCAGAGATCAGCCCAATGAGGGTGGTGTCGTCGACAAACTTCAAGAGTTTGACGGACAGATGATTGGAGGTGCAGCTGTTGGTATACAGGGAGAAGAGCAGTGGGGAAAGGACGCAGTCCTGAGGAGTTCCGGTGCTGATGGACCTGGAGTCAGAGACTTGTGTTCCCAGCTTAACGCACTGCTCCCTGTCAGACAGGAAGTCTGTGATCCACCTGCAGGTGGAGTAGGGCACGATCAGCTGAAAGAGCTTGTCCTGAAGCAGGGCAGGGATGATGGTGTTGAAGGCAGAGCTGAAGTCCACAAACAGGATCCTAGCGTAGGATGCTGGGGCGTCCAGATGCTGTAGGGTGAAGTGGAGGGCCATGTTAACTGCGTCGTCCACAGACCTGTTGGCTCTGTAGGCAAACTGAAGGGGGTCCAGGAGAGGGTCTGTGATGGCTTTGAGGTGTGCCAGGACCAGGCGCTCAAAAGACTTCATTACCACAGATGTAAGGGCGACCGGTCTGTAATCATTTAGTCCTGTTGGCCTTTTGGGCACAGGGATGATGGTGGAGGACTTGAGACAGGCTGGTACATGGCATGTCTCCAGGGAGATGTTAAAGATGTTGGTGAACACCGGAGGCAGCTGGTCAGCGCAGTGCCTGAGGGTGGCTGGAGAGACAGAGTCCGGCCCGGCTGCTTTGCGTGGATTCTGCCTCTTGAAAAGTCTATTAACTTCTCCCTCCTGAAAGGAGAGAGTCGTCTCTGTAGTATGGGTAGGGGATGGGGCCTCTTGGGTGGGAAGGGGTAGTTCAGGACAGTCCAATTGTCTTTCAAATCTGCAGTAGAACTCGTTCAGGTCGTTGGCCAGGCGGAAGTCG